TGCCATCACAAGGTGAACGGCAGTAGGCAATGGCCATTCAGTGAATTCACTCAACACGAGGCCCAGAATTTCATAGTGAGATGGTGACAGACAAGTTTGGGGCTTTATCTTAAAAACAAAACAAATAAACACAAACAAACAAAATCACCATGAAGATCTCTATCTTTGCTTCCTGGTCCTGGAGCTGCAGCTACCTGGTCATTACAAAGTAACAAGGCAACACACAGGCGGTGACAGAGTGGGCATGAGAAAAGCCGCCAGGTTTAATGACCTTACACAGCTGTGGATCACGAGACAAATACACCGTCGCTGTGTTTAAGCGACAGGTGGGTCTTCTGTAACCCGAAGCAGTGCGCTTCCTTAGAGACACGACAGCTGCCGGTGCCCGCGGAGAAAGGGTAGGGATGCTGGTGCCCTCTACCCAGCAAGAGGAAGAAACGGGGGCCGCAGGGGCGGGAGGGGTTGTACTTTTCACCGTACGTTCTGTTTTCTTCGAATTGTCTGCCAGGCGGACACATTACTTCTTAAAAATACATGAAAAAAACAGGAGAGTTCCGCTGCTATTCTCCCGACTACGAGGATGCCGGCGATGGCTACTCGGATAACAAGAACTCCGTGTTCTCGTGCCGGAGCGACAAACAAATTAGACAGGAAAAAACCCAACTGGACTGACTCCAAAGGGCCCCCGCTGGCAGGAGCCCATCTCCCCAAGCTAGACTAACTTGTAGAGACAGCTTTTCCCGCCCCTGGGGAAACCTTCAGTCTTTCGGAGGCAACCATACAGAACTCCGCTTCCGCGGACGTTAGTGGTGAGGGGGCATCGACCCGGAGCGCCGTTCGCTACGTTCCTCGGCACTGCCTCCCGTTCAGAAGAGGCCGCGCCACGACGCTTCTCGAACTACGTCTAAACGCTCCCTGCATTTTCCAGTTCATCACCTTGACTCGTCCGCACTCCTGTCACACTGGACACGGGCAGACTGGCACCACCTCGCGTCAGCTGACAAGGGCATTTCTGACCACGACAGAAGCACCGGTCTCTAGGTCACATACGTGCATCTGCCGAGGATCCGACGTGCGTCTCCCAACCACCCCCGACTCTCCGCCTGGGGATTACGGCCACCGTAACAAACCCCTCACCTGGACCGTCTCTGGGATTCCGGAGCGAATGCAATGTGCTTTTCCTCCCAGATGTCTTCCTCATCGGAGCCGCCATCGTCAAACTGCTGGATTCTTTCCTTACAACATGCTTCAAACAAGGCAATATTTCCCTAAATAAAAGTGAGAGAGTGAAAAATCACAAAACAAACTTGAAAATCAAGTTATTTTCTCCACAAGTTACCAACGCAAACTTCCTTTAAAACACAGTGTCTGTCACGCACACCAAGACGAAACGTAACAGCACGCCAACGCCAGCTTTTGCAGAACCACAGAAAGCTCCCCCTCCAAAGACTCGATTCAAAACTGGCCCCCACAGAAGCCTACACGGTCTCCCCGGACTCCCCTCACCCGGAGAAGCACCGCGTTCCCTCCAAGAGCCTCCCCGCCCCCCGCCCCCCGCCCCCCCCCCGAGATGCAGTCCCAGATCCGCCCTGACAACAAAGCAACCCGCGTTTCCTCCGCTTTTACCAGCTAAGCGGCAGTGACGGTAACAGCAACAGCCCAGTCAGGACCTTCTACCTCATCACATCAGCCAATAAGCCAGCGGTCCCTCGTGTCAATCAACAGAAAAATCAGGACCGTGCCCACTCAAATGACACCAATCCCGCATCATTTGCCGACAGGGCCGACTTGGTGTCTGAGCCCTGCCTGGGGATGACAAGCTGGCCCTGATCTAGCCCAAGTTTCTCTCCCGGTGACATACATCTGGAATAAAAGGCATCTGGCTCGAGTCAAAATGCACTCTCTGAAGTCTAGCCTGTCATCAATCACAAGTGACCCGGTTTTAGCAGCCCTGTCACATCTTAAACCAGGGTTGCAAACTCACATCCCCACAGGAACCACGCAGGTGACACGGGTGGGTGAAGTGATACCAGCCTAAGATGAAGGGTCCTGGGGCACGAAGGGTCCTGGGGCACGGAAGGTCCCAGCGCACGCGGCATCCACGCACAGGCTGGGACAAACCATCCACGCACAGGCTGGGACAAACCCCAGGCCCCACTGTCCACCTCTCGTATACCGTGTTGCTAAGGAGAAGAAACATTTAATACTTACGCTTTCATTTGTATTCAGAGTAAAGTTGATGTCTGATACTCGATCGAAAGAAACACTGTAAACAAAATGTACGTACAGGAGTAGTTAATTGCCTACGGACGGACGGACAGAAACATTATTTACAACATCTTCCACATTTAAAACAGTTACCCTACCATTAAAATCTCCACAGGTAAAACTAAAGCAAAAACCTACTTGCATGAAATGATGCCTCTTCCCTCGGTATGAAGAAGGGATGGAAAGGCAGGGATGGATGCCTTGTAAGACAGAATGAACCCACCCTCGAAGCCTTTCCATAAAAGATGTTTAACATCCACGGCAACAACCATGGTTCCACGGGCCATACTTACACAACCAAGAAAAAGGTTATTTGGAAAGAAGAAACAGTCAAAACAGGTACCCAAAAAAAGTACCCAAGGGCTGTCAGCTCTCACACACTAATTTTTCTCCCGGGATGGCCAAATTCATACACAGAATAGACACCCCCCAAATCCTAACATATGGCATGATCGGCAGGAAGGTAGGGGTGAGAGAACTCCTAGCCTGTGAAACATAATTTCTTGAGGAAGTAAGATTCTTATTATTTTGGAGAAAGAGGGTGAGCAGGGGAGGGGCAGAGGGGCAGAATCTTAAGCAGGCTCATGGCCAGCTTGGAGCCCAAGGCGGGGCTCCATCTCAGGACTGTGAAATCATCATCTGGGCTGAAATTAAGAGTCGGACCCTTAACCGACTGAGCCACCCAGGTGCCCTAAAGTCAGTATAATTCTTAAAAGATCTGTTCTAATCAATCATTACTCCAAGCACCCAATATACATTTTAAAGGGACTGGATTCCTAACAGGTAACATTTAGTGAGAGCGGAGACGGGCAAGCGCCGAGATGCCGCGTGGGGAGCCCGTGGGCTCTGGTGCGAGCGCTTCTGCAGTACAGACACAACCACCACGGGGGCAGTCCTTGCTCATGTTGCATCCAAATGAGCTGACGCTTAGGGCAGCTGGCAGCCTTGAACTCTTGCTCTGTTTACAGGGAAGCCTCCGTCCGCTGCGCTAACACAGCGTGCTGTATGGTACAGCTGGACCGTGCCGGGGGCCTTCAGCTTCTCACATGCCACAAACTGCAGCTCGGGACAGAAGACGGCTCTGCCGGCTGCGTCACTGAACCACGAGCACCTAACTGCTAGCGACGAGCCACCCGGACGCCGGGTACTGACGAGCATCATCAGGCAGTGCCCCGTGACAGCAGCCGTTTGGTCCTCACCTCTGTTCTCGATGAGCTATGACCCTCCTCGTAAATACTTTACTCATGAACACCTCTCCCTTCCCCGGACCAGACGCTAGACCCTTTGTTTTCATTCCGTGGATCGCCCACACATCTGTCACTCACTGGTTTGGTATGGTACCAATCCTTCCCACTCCCGTGCCCCCCGCTTCCCTCGCCCACACGAGCGCTCTGCCTGCCCGGCTCCTACGGGACACCCGGCCGGCCTCATGGTGAGCGGGCTGGGGAGGACACACGTGGGGAGCCCCTGCTGGGACGCCACCGGGTCCACTCCCACCCGCCAACTACAGCAGGGACTCACCACCCTGGGGGCCGCTACCTGGCACAGCCGTCGGCGGGGTGGGGGAGGGGGTTGCGGGCAGAGCAGCGACCAGAGCTCGTGAGCAAAGCTCAGTATACACAGCGACAAGCCCCTGTGAGAAAGAGCCCCGCGGCCCTCAGCCCCCCCGCCCCCCCCACCCCCGGCTGCTTCAGGGCCCGACAGGCTGGGACCACAGGGGCACCTCGTGGGGGCAGGCTCATCCCAGCCCGTAAACGCGCACAAGTCCCGGGAACCCCGGAGAACCGCGTCTCACAAAAAACAGGAGCGCACGAGACGGGGGGGACAGGAAGATATACTCACTTGCCAATGTCATCTTGATCCGCAAACTTCTCATCGTTGAAGCCAAACTGGTCAATAAAATTGGACGTCATTTGTTGCATCTGATAATCAGAAAAGGCCTGGCAGCCCCAGGGCCAGTGACAGTGATACAATGATTCTAATGACATTCTACACACTATCTGCCCACCTGTGTTCCAGAAACCATCTTATTTACATAGCCTTAGGGCTTAAGAAGTTGGTGTGTTTTTCTAAAAACAATCAAATAATTTCAGACACAATATACCCAAAAAAGGACATGTTTGGAATTCGAATGCACGTCACTGCAGGAAATGTTAATGACCACTCTGTCCTCTATTGCAAATTATCTTTAGAGAGAGGTCTGGGTTAAGTCCAGTTCGAAGAGGTGATCAAGTGACACGTGACAGTCTGAAATTATAAGATGCATCAATCACCTCTGCACACAACCAACCTTAACCTAAGATCCAGTAAGTAGTG